GATCATTAAGTCTCGGCAAATATGAAAATAAATTATATAAATTTTCCATTTTCTGAGAGTTTTAGTTCCTTAATTTAAAATTATCTTTTGGAAAGAAGGAACACATGCAGAAATAAGTTCAATTTTTACACTTGAGTAATTGTGGTCAGGAAACATTTTTTCTTTAAATGCTTTTACTTAAGTCCTCTTCTAAATGTACAGTTAATTCTATATCATGAATTGCTGCAGCCAATAAATTATTTATTAGAAAATGACAATATGTTGACTCTATCATGGCATTTGAGTCTTTAACAGCATTTAACATAGCTCATTTGTATACTGAGTGGCATCATATTAAAAACAAGAAATGAAAGACGTTTAATTATTTTTAGAAACTCTCCTTTAAATATCTACAATACTTTATTCATGATAAAATGTATTAAACATGATGAACAACTATGTAAAAGTATTATGTTTGATGGCAAAAGAATACAAGGAGGTATAATACATTTTATTTCAGTCTTATAATTGGAAAGATAAAAACATAAATGACTATAAAACAAGCAACAGATTTTTATATATTCCAGTTATTTTTCTAAAGAATTTTTTCTTAGGAGAATACTATTCATATTTCTCTGATTTTGGCCAATTTTTATGTCCTTTGTAAAAAGCAGGTCTATCCTTCCTGTATGATCACTTTTGTTTATTCATAAAGACATCACTGAGAACAGTTCCTTGGGTAACAGGGCCTGAAATGCAACCCTAGTACAATGCTTTTGGCCAATGAAATAACCTAGTTATTACCTAAAACTGATGAAGTACATACTGTTGTTTCCCAACTATGATGACACAATATTTGTAAAAGTGCATTATCTAACTAGTGTACACACGAGTCAGCCATGTATTCACTTCAATCTGTGGCATTGCCAAGCCATTGTCTTTATTTCCTTAACACTTTGGAGAAACTGAGACTACACAGCATAAGTGCCATCTAGTGGTAAAGGATCTCCTAACTGCACTAGGAATTCAGAGAAAGGAAACATCATTTTTAACTGGAATGACAGGGAAGGTTTTATAGATGAGCAAACAAATTTAGAAGAAAATGTAGTTATTTCATAAGCTAATTTGGTATCAGAAGCATGGGGTGTGTTGACAGGCCAAGGAGAGAACTGTCTGCCTAAAGCAGACAGCTTATATATAGGAGTAATGAAAGATACGGCTAGAAAAAGAATTGGGTCAGGATGGAAAACTGGAGAAAAAAGTTTGGTCTTTACCCTGTAGGTAACGGAGAACAGTCATCCACCCAATAAAATATTCTTTGAACACTTATTATGTGCCAAGCACTGTGCTAGCTTCTAGGTATAAAGTGATGAACAAAATAAACATGGTTCCAACCCTTATGGAATTTCTAGCCTAGACAAACATTAAAAACAATATTAAAGCTTTTGAGCACAAAAGGAACAGGGTCAAAAGATTAGGTTTGCAGCCCAGCTCAGCTACTTATAGCAAGTCACTTAACCTCTGAGTCTGTAGAATAAGAACAATTATCCCAACTATTTTTACAAGGCTGTACTACAGAAAAAACTGCATGGCATGTGTAATGTATGAAACAGTTGTCTCAAATTGTAAAGTTTTGCATAAATGTAGACCATAATGATGAAAACTGTTTTCAAACAAATATTCTGATATAGGTATGAAAAATAAAATGAAGAGAATGAAAGCAGAGCATAAAACAAAACCTACCAACTCTAGTTAGTTTATAGAATTTATTCAGCAATATAAAATGATTTATCTACAGCATACCTGATATAGCAATCTTTCCTTTACATGCTGTTCGTTCTTTATTTTCAAAATTCACATTACTGTCAAAAGAAAAAAGATTTATGAAAAAAAGATCTTTTCTAATAAGCAATTGCTTTAAGTCTTTCACAAATAAATGCCTAAATATAAAAAGCAAACACATATTGATGAATAATAACGACTTCCAGTTAGTATAAACTATTTGACTCAAACTTTAAGATGTTTAGTCAACAGCTAAACAGTTAAGAGAAATATTTAGAGCCATTCTGTTTGATTTTTCCTAAAGTTTATGTTCCCTAATGATTGTATACTGGTTACTCTACAATGAAAGCCTTTTGTGATCTCTTGTATCTATAAACAAAATCTACAATATTTGTCCAGGTCCCCAGAAGTATAATACCTTGGACCACTATTCTACAAATTATACTTCTAGCTTACTAGATAGTGACCTGAAAAAGTTAATAAACTTTCCAATTATGCAACTTTGCTGTCCAAATGTACCTTATCCTTATAAAATCTGACAATTATCCAAAAAATTACTCTCTGCCATATATTTATATACAATATCATATTTCATTTCCCCAAATTCCAAAGAACTAAGTACATACTAAAACAATAAATTAACTAAGGTGGAAAAGGAAGGAGTGGTTGTATAGAGAGGAAAATAATGTCATGACAATAAAAAAGGTTTCAAAAGAAATTCTGAGGATATAAGATACTTCCAAATATGATATTAAAATATAG